AGCCAAAGCTACATAGTGAGACCTTGTATCAAAAAGCAAAATAAAAAGTCAAGAAGCTTACTAAAGATGGGCCCAAGACTTTGAAAGCTCACTGAAGGAGCCATCCAGAGGCAAGCAACACAGGATAGGATGCTCTTCACCATATATCATCAGAAAAGTGCCAGCTAAAGCAACAGTGAGACGCCACTGCATACTTGTAAGGATGACCGAGACCTAGACCACTGCCGGAATCCAACACCAGGGAGGACTGAAGCCAAGAGGAAGTCCTGTGTGTTAGCAGTGGGACTGTGAAACAGAATAACAACCTGAGCAGGTAGCCAGGCAGGTTCTTATAAAACGAAGCATCCTCCTTATCACGTGGTAGAGCAACCACACTCCTTCATACTACCCAAAGGAGTTACAGTTTATGCCCACCTAAGATGTATGTTCACTGCAAGTTCGTGTAACATTTGGGAACATCAGGATGGTCTCAGGCAGATGAGCAAACTGTATCTAGAAAATAGGATCACATTCAGTACTGGGGAGAAAAAAAAAAAAAAAGATGAGCTATCACGCCATGAGAAGAAACAGGAATTGTAAGTAGATTTTGCTAAATCAAATAAGTCAATCCAAAAGGACTGCACACCATATAAATCTGATTATATGACATTGTGGAAAAGATACAACTTTTGAAACAATACAAAGATATATAACTGGACCAGCAGGATGGTTCCTGGGATATGGACACCTACCAAGCAAGCCTGCTAACCTAGATTCTATTCCCAGAACCCACATAACAGTGGAAGAAGTGAACTCACTCCATAAAGATATCCTCTGCACACACGCACACCCTGTGACATGTGTATCTACACAAACATACACTGATGATGATGAATATATATATATATAATCATATATATATATATATATATCTTAATATATATATATTAAGATCTGTGGTTGCCAGAGCCTGAAGGATGGGGAAAGGTCAAGCAAAGAGAATTTTAGAACTATGATACAATTGTGCAAAGTGCACGTGTTACATATGTCAAAGTCCACAGACGGTAAACCATCAAGAATGAATCTTCGCATAATGTACGGACAGTGAGGGATAAGATGTGTCAATATGAGTTTGCTAGTTCTAACAAACATACCACTCTGGTAGAGAAGCTAATAATGAGGATGGCTATGAAAATAAAACTAACTTAGGAGAAGAAAGGAAAAAGTCAGGTATAGTGGTAAACATCTATAATTCTAGCACTTGGAAAGTGGAGACAGGAGGATCAAGAGTTCAAGGCCATTCTCAGCAACATAAGGAGTTTGAGACTAGCCTGGGTACATGAGACCCTGGTGTGTGCGTGCGTGCATGTGTGTGTGTGTGTGTGTGTGTGTGAGAGAGAGAGAGACAGAGAGAGAGACAGAGAGAGAGAGAGACAGAGAGAGAGAGGGAGGGAGAGAGACATAAAGTAAGAGAGAACAGAGAGGAAGACATGAAAGAGATGAACCTCAAATTTAAACCTTGTACCTTATGAAAGTTAATTCATGGATCATGGACTTAAAAATATTAAACTTTAAAGATTTTGGAAAAATACCATAAAAGAAAATCTCCAGGATGTAAACTCTTAGGCTTAACAGTAGAAGAAAAACAGATATACCGTGCCTCAGTAAATTAAAATACTGGTTTATACAAGACCATATGAAGAGGATGGAAAGATAAGTTATAGAACAAGAACGCATCTAACATCTACAAATCACAGTTTGACTTCTAGAATATGTAAAGACCTCTCAAAATCAAACTCTCAAAATCCAATAATAATAACTGAAATAATAATAACATTTATAAAATGAGCAAAAGATATTTCACCAAAGAGATTAGTTGCCCATTATCCACAGGAGAAACACTCCTCACCCCTGGTGGCTGCCTGAAAGGTGGGCAGAAAGGATGAGCAACTTTGAACCTGCGTTGATTCTGCTCTTTGCAATACATATAGACCTATGATGACGTTTACTCACAAAGTGGGTAAGAAAATAACAACAGGAAATAATTAAAAAATTATAATTTTATGACTTGTGAAGGCAAAGGCAGGCAGATCTCTGTGAGTTCGAGGCCAGCCTGGTCTATAAAGCAAGTCCAAGACAGCCAAGGCTACACAGAGAAACCCTGTCTTGAAAAACCAAAACCAAAACCAAAGCAAAACAAATTTTGACAACATACTATAGTAAATGTTATGACTGGTTTCTTTTCTGTTTTGTTTTTCAAGACACAATTTCTCTGTGTAGTCTTGGACGTCCCGAACTCTCTCTCTCTCTCTCTCTCTCTCTCTCTCTAGATCAGGCTGGCTGTCAACTTGCAGAGATCCACCTGCTTCTGCTTCTGCTTCCTGAGTGCTGGCATTAAAGCTGTGCACCACCACCACCTGTTCATGACTGGTTTCTTTTTCTTCTACAAACATCTTTTTAAAATTTGACGTGCACATGTCGCCGTGTCTCCATGTGTCTGTGTAAGTGTGTGTCTCTGTCAATGTGGGTGCAGATGCCATATAGAGGCCAGAAATGGCATTGGGACAGCCTAGAGACAGAGTTAAAAGGAGGTTGTAAGCCACCTGACATGGGTACTGTCTTACAGACATGGGTCTGTAAGAGCAGCAAGCGCTCTTAACCTCTCTCCAGGCCTCGGGCATCTTATTTCACTGTGTGTGCCCTCCATGTGATGGCATAAGAGGACAGTGTCTATGGGATGATTGGGAGAGAAGGGCATGGTGGGCACTGTGTGGTAGCCTTGGGCAGCTGTGAAAGGGCAGCTTTTGAAGACAAGCATGCAGTGAGGTTGGTCTGAAACCCGAGGCTACCACTGACTGATGGATGGTGGCCTGTGCAGCACGCAGAGCTTCTCCAGTGATGGATTCCCGCCCGCAACAGAGTTCTACAGATGCTTCTCAGACACAGGGAAACTTATCATTCATCGTGTTCTGGTGGAGGGTAAGAAGGCATAGTGACTAGGAAACAGCTGGAAAATCTTTATGTAACTAAACATGCAATCATCGTTATATGAGCCAGAAATTGGACATTTGGGTGCTTATCTCAGAGAAGTGAAAATGAGCACACACACGCATGCATGCATGCCTGTACACAAATGTTCATGGAAACCTCAATTGTAATAGGCAAAGACTGAAAACAAAACAAATGTGCTCTGAGGTGGGGAATGACCTGAAGAATACAACTCCATAGTGGCAGAAAACAGTACAAGTAGCTTGGGTGTATTGCCAAGAGCATTCTGCCCACTGGGGGAAAAAAAAAAAAAAAAAAAAAAAAAGACAGTTCTAAAAGATAACACACCATCTGACCCTGTTTCTATAATATTCTTGAAAGGATAAAACTGTAGAATATTATCAGTTGCCAGAGTTCTGGGTGGTGGACAGAAGTGGGCATGGCTATACAGGACAGAAAGAAGAACCTGGCTGTGGAAAGACTGCGATCTAAACCAGCTTGATATCTAGACGGTAAAATTTGGCAAGTTGTCACCCTTGAAGTGCTCTCTTTGTATTTTTTAAAACTATACATAAATTTACTGTTATCTTAAAAAGCTAAAAAATAAATAAATAAATTAAGAGCCAACAAGATGGCTCAGTAAGTAAAGGCACTTGCTGACAAGTTTGATGACCTGAGTTTGGTCTCCAGGACCCACATGGCAGGACTCCCATAAATTGACCTTGGCCTCTACATACATGTCATGACACGTGCATGCCTCCACACAGACAGATATAGACAGATGCGCTAAATAAATAAAATGTATGTAAAATAACATTACAGACTTTGTAGGAAAATACAGACTTCTGACTTTTTTTTTTTTTTTTTAACAAATAGGAAAACCCTGCTGTACTGGACCCACTTCTGCTTAGGACCCCAATTAGCTGGAGTGATGGCGGCTGCCTCCATCAGGCCAGACCCACCTGTCTGCCCCAGTCTTTATCTCTCCCTACTGTCTCATACCCACAGTTATTGCTTCTTGCCTGTCCCCTCAAACTCCTGGAGTTTGCCACTTTTTTTTTTTCTTTTCACATTGGCATTGTCCTGCCTAAGACTGTTGGGAAGAAGGAAGTGAGAAAACAAGCCTTGGATTTATTTTTAAAATAAAAATAAATGTACAAGTGGGTTCACGTGTGTGCAGGGCTCTCAGTCCTGGATGTCACCCCTCAGGCACCATCCAGCTTGTTCTTTGGCACAGGGTCTCTCACCGAAACTCAAAGTTTCCTACTGAACGCGGCTGGCTAGCCAGTGAGCTCCAGGAATCCTCCACCTCCCTGGGGCTGGGACTGAAAGTGCAAACCACGGCACCTAGCTTTATATGTGTGTTCTCAGGACTGAACTCAGGCCCACATACTTGATCCACATACTTCATCAACTGAAGTGTTCTCCAGCCTGTGGCTGCTTTTGAAATCCAACTTCTTCAATCAAAAGGCCCATACCGTTCCTTCACTGTGTGAGACGATGGCAGAGTGTCTCTGACTTTGTTCACTGGGGCATTAAAAGCTAATCTCCTCAAACTTAAAATGAATAATGGCAAACTATGGCTCTGTATTATTAACCCAGACTTACACACTAAAACAGTTAAAAGTCCATTCTTCAACTGTGGAAACCTTGTCTGACTCTAAAAACAACTATTTGCATTAAATCAGCTCTGGATTCATACATTTGCAAACCATTTTAATCTCTGCCCGATCTATGAAAGTTGCTGAGTAGATACAAACTGGAGAAAACGCGCTCACTTCCCATTATGTCAAAGGCACAGGATAAAAAGTGGTGTTGTGACTTGTAAAGTGGGGCTAGCTGTATACTAAGGGAATTCTGAAAACGTAATGAAGAAATAGCCCCACGGGTGAAAACACGCCGCGTGGATCCAGGTGGAAGCTGTGTCTTCCCTTGCCTCTCGCAGGACAGAGAGGAGATGTTGGGGACAGTACAGTCATTTCGACAAAGATCTGTGCAGCAGGAGGTGGGAGAGGGAAGCTTCCTGAACCCACCTGGTGGTCCGAGGTGCTGTTCTCGTTGCCCATGGTGACTCAGGGTGCCCCGGTCCCTCAGAATGGTGTCAGAGTGACTGGAAAAAACGAAAGGGCATAAACATCTGGAAAAGTGGAAGGAGAGCTGAGGTTTTTCTCTTCTGCTCATCTCCCCAAACTCAGCGCCAGACGATGGCAAATGTTTATCTCTTCAGCCACATCATGGAAAATCACTTTAGAAGGGTTTTCTTTTGCAACATGCCACCCAGACTTCTTTCCCAATACGGGCTGGTGTTTTCACTCCCCGCCCAGCGCTGGCTGCAGATTCTGAAAGGCAAGTTTGTTCCTGAGTCTGAGTTAGTGCTGGCACGCACACATATGCACATACACAAAGAGTGACAAAAAGCCGCCCCCCACCCCTCCGCACCAAATGCCAAGAAGCCTGGGGAACACTGCTCCCAGGAGGATTTTCTGTTTCCAATTGTACACAGTTTGGAAACTCGTTGCGGCTGCTTTCTTTCTGTTGGTGACAGCACAGCCTGCTGTCAAACATTAGGAGGCGTGAAATCTACTCCTCTCCAAGAACATGGTGTTTGTAGCTCTTCCCTCTGAGCACTTGTCTCATCTATTCAGCTTCACTTCTGTGTATGTTTTTATGAAAGCAGAGCCGGCTCCTTGCTGAGGGAGATAGGGATCTGGGGGCCAGGCTAGGAATAAACACTCATATGAAGCTGCCCAAGACAAACAGAATGTGCTGTGGGGCCTTCAGTGACAGTATTAATGATCCTCATAGCTAAAATGTGCCCTGCACAGTTGTCAGAGAGGCACCGTCCCTTGCCAGACATCACTCACTAAATTTCAGGGACCAAGATGGCACCCTTACTTTTTTTTTTTCTTCATGGAGAAACCAAGCCACAGAGACTTTGAAAAATCAGATGCTCCTTAAAGCTGATGCCTCAGGGAACCCCAGCCTCATGCAGTGGGGAGGACCAGGATCCAAGCCCTAAAACTCATGTGAAAAGGCAGCTGGGGTTGCACGCATCTGTAATCCCAGAATTCATACAGCAAAGTGGGAGGGAAAGGCAGAAGAATGGCAGGAAGGTTACAGGCCAGCTAGACTGAAGTAGGTAGTCCAGAAACAAGAGAGACCTTGTTAGCCTTGATTAACAGTAGTAGGTGGTGAGACGGATTCCTGAAAGTTGTCCTCTGACCTCTGTAAGTGAGCTATGGCAGGAGTAAGACACTTCAGGCATGTGTGTGTGCTTGCACACATACAGAAATAACAACTAACTTTAAACACAAAAATTAAAACGATCCTTTTGGTTCACTTAGTCATTCGGTCAACATTGTGGGGTGACCAGTACATGCTATGCATACTGAACCACCACCGATCAAGAAAATACAAGTGTTATGAGCAGGACCAAATAAAATGTGTCTGGGCACTAGAGGCTGTGGCTCAGTGAGAGAGCCCTTGGTTCAATCCCTAGGACTGATAAAATACCTCAAAACCGATGAAAAGGTAATAATGACACACCCTTGTGCCCAAATCTCTTGTTCCTAACTTTCAAATCAAGAGAACATAGCTCATCAGTGATTTCCAATAATTTACTTTGAATATTCACTGCACATATATATCATGCTAAGCTATAGAATAAAAAAAAGTCATTTATTTAAAACTGATCAGTTTAATTTTTTTGTTCATTTTGAAGATAATTCCTCATAAGTAAATAAGGCTGCTAGAACCATTATTACTTAAACAGTTATTAACTTCCTTGTAGGAACCAGGCTAAAACATATAACATGAAATTTCATATGGTCCATTGTAATATTAAATTCTTCCTTTTTAGCTTTTTTGAGACAGGTATTTCTACATAGTCCTGGCTGTCCTGGAGCTCACTCTGTAGAACAGGCTGACCTTGAACTTGCTGGGATTAAAGGTATGCACCACAATGTCCAGGTAGAGCAGTGTTAATTTTTTAATACTCATTTACTAAATAGCTTTAATAATTTTATTAAAAACCATAAAAACTAAAAATTTTCTCAAAGTTACCTCAAACTCACTGTGTTGCTAAGGATGGCCCAATCTTCCTGTCTCCACCTCCTAAGTGCTGAGTTAGCTTTTAAAGAGACAAAAGCAAATGGCAAAACTCCCTCTGCCACAGTATGACCGAGACACACAGAATCGTACTGGAACCCTTCCCTGGGAACTTCAGGACAGGTACGCTTCAGCCCCCAGGCCAAAAAAGCAGGTGCCCCTACCTGTTTCCACTTACCTGCAGGGACTGTCTGCACTCTGAAGGCTTCAGCTCACAGAAAGTTTGCTTTACAACAACTGAGCTTTCCCCTTATCTACTCAAAGACTGTGAGGTTTAAGCCAGTTGGACAAACAGCTGTTCTCCACCCAGAGAACACAACCCAGCTGGCTTCATACCTGGGCTGTGCCTGCCCTTACCCAAGCCTTCCTGCCTGGGAATCTGCACCTCCCAGCTGCACACGCTTGGGGCCTTTATACTGAGCATTCTCGCTGTGGTGACATCAGCACAGGCTCCTTTCAGGACAGGCTTAACACTGCCCCTGCCCTCTGATTGGTCACACCTAGCACTGCTTGCTTTTGTGCACGAGATCAGGGAACAGAGCTTTTTCTAGAAAGAAGTCACGTGCTCACAGACCTTCTTGTGTGCACCTGGGGGAAATTCCACTGCAGATAGTATGGAAAGACAAAGAAAACTCGTGGAAACCAGATGACTCGGCAGTCTGGCTCCCGTTGGTGTGTGCAGAATGAACTTACCCAGGCGTGGTTTGAGTTTCAACCAGTGAAGTCATAAAAAGTACTTGCATGACTGGATTTGCTGATAGGCAGGCTGCCTGCCCACTGGGGTGGAGGCCTGCAGACCTGAGAGAATCACAGGCACCCAGCCAAACATTCTCCTGCCCGTGCCGCTGTCTCCTATGCCCACAATCCCTTCACTTTTTCCTCCTCAGTAAATGAAGGCACCTGCAGAGGGCCCTGACCCCGTGCCTAGACAGAACCACTCAGGGAAACAAGTCGGGCATTTTGTCCAGGGATCCCTGGATACCAGGGAGGAAACTGCATGCTCCCTGGAGGTGTTTAAGGCCCCCCCATACACTGAAAGCTGATTGCAAAAGAGCTCACTACCCTACTTTGCGTTTGAATAGCGCAGAATTGTGTAGGTGTGGGCAGATGACCAGATAACCACAATGCTTTCTAGCTGCACAACGAAATATTATTCAGCCATAAAAAGAAAGCAAGCATTGGTTCGTGTCACAACTCTGATAAGCGTCAAAAGCATCGAGGAGGCACAATAGGACCACAGCGTGTGAGTCCACTTACACAGAATTCCCAGAACTGACAAATCCATAGGGACAGAAAGCACACTTGTGGCTTCCAGGAGCTAGGGGAAGCGTATCAGCTGAACAGGTGCAGGGGGTTATTTTGGTCTGATAATAGTGTTCTAGAATTAGAGGAACAGCATAGACCGTGTGTGCCCGGAATGTCACTGAATCACTCATCTAAATTTTAATACCTAAATTTATATTATCTGAATCTCATAATTGTTTTCTTGATTTTTTTGAGATCTGTAGTGCAGGGTGGCTATGTAGCTCAGGTTGTCTTTGAACTCCTGACTCTTCTGCCTCCAGCTCCCAAGCACTAGGATCAAAGGTGTCCACTGTCAATGCTTGCCTACAATTTTTCTTAAAGTTGTGTTTCACATCTTAGGGTTCTGTGTAATGTAGAGTTTGGGGAAGGGAGAATTCTAGCAGTGAGGGGAAAGGCTTGAAGGCCATTTCTTTTGTGTTTATCAACACCAAAGGTCAAGGTTCAGAGGAATGAGGAACAAGAATTCTCATCTCTGCACCTTTTAAACCATATGGCGATTTTTCTAGGGTAGAGAAAAACCCTGTTAATAGGTCTTGGATGAGCAGTTGCGGATGGATGAAGAGACGAAGAGGCTTAAAGCGGAACACTGAGAGGGGGAAGCCGCTCCTGAGGGAAGGGGAGAAACACAACACCAGCCAACCCTGAGGTATGCAGAGCTCTGGATGTGGGGCATGCACGGTGGCCAGTTTTCAGTTCCGTGCGTTTCCATGACATCCCTTCCTTTCACTGACAGCTCAGTGTACAGCACAGACAACAGGTGTGAGTGTTCGAGATTTTTCCAAGGGTTGGTAGGTTGAAGGCCCAGAACCAGGAAGGGGCAGCCCTGAGCAGGGAACTTTGGCTGCTTCAGGGAATGCCGTGGATTTAGCTGTACACAACAGTGAGTCACCCGCTCAGTATTGGTACGTTGGTGCGCCCTTCTCTGCCTTGAAGACACCTGTCCTCTTCCTATGCCTTCCCATGGTCATCTCGCAGGTACTGCTTTTGAAAATGCAGTTGAGCGGTAGATTAAGGCCCACTAGTGTGACTTCATTTTGGCTCTTCCTTCAGGGCCCTGTCTCCAAATACAACCGTACCCCCCAACACTGGGCCTTATGAGCTCAAAATATGAATTCTGGGAGGATACAAACAAAATTTGGAATCCACCAAAGGAAGAAATTTAGAGCTAGAAGACAATTGGAATAAACAAAGCCACAGGATTATAAGAAGCCTTAGGGAAGGCAAAGACACCGCAGGGCTCAGCGTGGGACAGATTAGGCGTGTGCCCCTTGAGCTTTCCGAGTCCTCTAAACACACAGTCCAACTGCTTGGGAATGCTAGGGTATAAAGTGCCAGGTGTTTGACTGGTGAGTACAGAGGGCTTGGCCTGGAACAGAGACACTTTGAGAAAGAAAGAGGAGGGTTTGTGGGGAAGAGCAGGACTGGGTAATTACCTGTCTGGGCCATCTTGATCCTGATGCTAAAAGGATTAAAGGGACAGAGAAGAGGCTGGGGAGGACAAGGCAGACATGCAAGCCCCTCCTCCCAGGCACTTTTCCCAAAAGCATGCTGTAGGCAATTGCTCTTAAGAAACAAGCACCAGCTCTGAATCTGGACCTTCTAACAGGCTGCACCCAGGGCCTCAACACAGTGTTCTAGTTTCTTTTCTGTTGCTTTCTC